CAGGGGAGGGAGCTGAGTCTCCTGCAAATGCTGTGAAGAGAAACACATGATGAAATGCCTCCACTGACTCAGCTGAATCCCTTCCCTTGGGATGCCTTGGGCTGGTCCTCTGCTGCTGAGCTGGGCTGGGCTCCTGGGATGGAGGGAGCTCATGGCAAGTGGGCAGTGCTGCAGAGAGACAGCTCTGCCCAGGAGCAGCTCCTCTGCAAAGCACAGCAGGGCTGAGGGCTCTGCCTGCAGGCACTGAGAGGGAAGAGGAGGGGAGCAAGAGAGAGCTTAAAGACAGTCTGGGGTGGGAGGAGAGAGCAGAGCTCAGCTGGAGAAAAATATCCACAGCCTTTACCAGGGTAAGTCTCTGGCTGCAGGGCAATGCAGATGTGGTTCCTGCAATGATCTCCTCAAGCTGGCACATCCCAGAGCCTATGGGATCTGTCAGGAGGACTCTCACAGTTTCTCCAGTTTACAGAATAAGGACGTGCTTTGGAGCAGGGCTTCCCCCTGCACTGTCAGAGGGACAGGGCATGTCGGCTGCCTTTCCCCATGAACGACTGCAGGGTGTGAAGGTGGGTGTGCAGCCAGGGGTGCTCAGGGCTGTCCTTCAGGGCAGGGTCCCTGAGCTAAAGGGGGCCGTGTGCCAGGGCAGGGACTTTGTCTTCTGCCAGGGTCAGCACTCAGACTGCCTGGGGAGGTCCAAAGAGCAGCACGGGCAGAAGCAGTGGGTGGAAGAAGCAACTTGTGGCTTATGAGAGTGTTCATCTGCTGTCAAGAGGGTGCTTCCTGGGTCAGGGCTGCTCACAGCTCTAGATCATCGCAGGACATTTCTGAGGGGACTTCTCAGGTTGAAGGGCAGGGCAGGATTTGCTACAAAGAGGAGTTTTTCTGAGCCTGAATTTCCTTTTTCCTGATCTTCAGGAATTTTGAAGGAGAAATGGAAAAAGAGCTCCCATGCTTGAACAAGTCACTGAGACTCTTAAGTTGTAACCTTGAGATATCAGCATGTCTGATAGAAGCCTGCTAATGTGCCTTCAGCCACTCCTCTGCCTATGGACAGCACCAGCATCACCTTTGCTGGACCCATCAGGGTTGATCTGACCTGCCCTTTTCCACCTGCAAACAGGAGCATGGGCCCAGCCAGTGGCCTGCAGAGAGGCAGGTTTCTGTGAGGCCAAGGTGAGTGCACAGAGGTTGGGATGGAGTCTGTGAGCATTCATGGGGAAAGACCTAACAAAGAAAAATCCCTCCTAGCAGGAAAATATCCAGACAGAAGGGAAATGGTCATGGAACAAGAGGAAATGATAACTTCAGACATTCTGGGGTGGAGAATTCAGAGAACTCTCTATCATCCCATCCAATGCAGAGCCTATTCCCTGAGCAAGCCCCCTCTGCTCCCCTCCCACCCAGCAAAGCCTCTGCCCTCAGGGCGATGGGGTCCAAGGCGTGACCCCCCTCCTCTGCAGCCAGAGCTCCAGCAGAGCCGTGCTGCAGCTCTCACG